CGGACACCAGGAGGCTCCCGGAGAATGGGAGGCCAAACCCGGGTGCGCTGGGGCTCACCTATCCACATGGTGTGAACACAGCTTTGCCCAGCTAAGGCAGAGTGTGCTCTCAGGGGCCGTGTGGTGCAGGGGGCTGCCAGCCACAGCCCACTCCCCGAGCCGGAGCTCCCAGGATCTCAAGAAGTCCCCGTGAGGACCCCTAAGGCCAGCCTGGCCATCTCCAAAGCTCAGGGTGCTTTGCAGAGTTCCAAGCCCTCATCTGCTCTTTGATGCTCTTATCCCGATTAAGCCACTCAAAACTTTTGAAGTTCATGAGTCATTTGCTTCAAATGTGTTTAAATTAAGGACGGATTCACTTTCCTGGTAGCAAACGCCCAGTGACTTAATTAAAAGGGGCTCAGCGTTTAAGCCTCCATCAGGGCTTTAAAGCGAAGGGAAAGGAGCGTGTCCCTCCCGGTGACATAATGCCTCTGATTCCCTTCCATGCCGCGAGTCTGGTATTTAGAAAATATTTCATCCCCCGGAGACTTGCGCCTGAGGCTGGCTGGCCTGCATTGCTGCGTAGGTCAGCTGACCGCTGGGGTACGGAGAAAAGGACGCCAGCTTGTCCCTCGTGCTCCCAGAGGGACACACGTAAAGGACAGCAGAGGTTTCCTTCCCCCACTCTTGATGACAAGGACAAAGTAACTTGGAAACCATCCTTGGAAATGCATGAGCGAATTCCAATGTGAAAATTTCCAGGCAGGATTCGGTTGACATCTCCTGCCTGAGCTGCTGGATGTCACAAATACGTGACTGACTGAACGGGGACAAACCCTGAATGACGATGGGGACCCACAGGGCTTTGGGGCCCCTCCCAGGTGGCGTGCCTTCTGAGAGATGCAAACATGAACAGCTGGGGAAAGTGCCAGGCTCATGTGAGCAGGCTGGGGCGTCTCGGAGCCAGTCGCCAGCACGTAGGGTCTAAGATCACCAGGTGCTGCAGGAGACCTTTACCAAGTGCCGGCTGTATGCCAAGCACCCACACCCCAGGCATTCCCACAGTGAGCAGTCAGTGACCAAAATCAGTTGGCCTGGACTCCTCACAAGTTTGCTTTACAAGTTTAAACAGAAAAACCTCAGAAAATGACTTTGTTTTCTCTCAGGAGACTTCATAATTCCAGCAAGAGAGCTGTCATAGGAGAGCAGGGCTGCACCGTGGGGAGTCCTCTTCTCCCGACCTCGAGCGAACTTCTGACCCATCTGACGGTCACCCTCCGCCAGCACTCATGTGAGGCTGGAGCTCAATGCCTCTATGAACCCACGCCAGGTGATTTTCCATCCTAAGAATTCCTGGCGAGCATCATCGATGCCTCTGCACCAAGCACCAAGGTCAAGGAAGAGGCCTCAGGACCTCAGAAAATGACCTCATCCAACGATCCCTCAATGGAGCAGCAAAGCCGGGGGGCAAAAAATTAGCACAGCAATAACTCTCAGTATCATCATCACCACCATCATCACCATCACCACCATCACCAACGTAATCATCATCATCACCATCACCATCCTGACATCCAGTGGCAAGCATACAGTGAGCAACAGCGAGGTGCCAGGCACTGAGTACCTGGCACCTACTGTCTCATTTAATCGTAACAATAACATGAAGCAACAGTTGACTCCATTATTCCCACTTAGGCACAAAGAAGACAAGACGTTGCCCAAGTTCACACAGCTGTTATGAGCTGAAGTCAGGAATGTGACCACAGGCAGTGGGACTCGTCACCGTTACCCTAAAACCTGGTGTGATTTCCAATGACCTCACTTACAAGGTGAATCCTGGGAGAGCCACCTATGATCATCCCAGCAGCTCCTCCTTATAACATTAGTTCCTGAGAAATCTCAGAGTGCCCCAAATCCCCAGCCATGCCTCTTCTGTGCCCAGTAATGCCTGTGCTATGGGCAGACAGGAAATGTAACACGTCCCTTAGAAATATTTCTCTACAGAAGCAAAAATAAAAATCACAAATCACAAAATACAATTCCAGAGATTCCCGTGTTAGACATCAAAAGTGACTTAATGAATGCTTTGTATCACCTCCTAAAACTCCTATTCCAAATACTGAAGTGTCCCCAGCAGTGAGTGGCACATCTGAGTGTATCTGAGATGACTCCCAAGCCCCTGGGGGCCTGTTCCACTTTTTACCCTGGCAACCCTCTCCTCTGAGCCACTTTTGCTGGGTATAAAAACAATGATGTGTGGCAGGGACTCTTAGGTGTCAGGCGCCTTATTTAATGCTCTGTGTTGATCTGCTACATTATCCCAAAAGCCATTTGGAGGAAATGTTTCTGAGCTTCGATTCTACCAGTGAAGGGAAGGAACCCAAGAGAGGACAGACCTTCTCCAGGGTCACCCAGGCATGGGGCCTGGGTTCTCACGAGTATCCTCAACCCCAAGGCAACACGTGTCTTCCCAGACTGAAGCTCCGGGATCCCCAATCACTCCTGCTGCCCTAACTGTCTGGCAAGTGTGCACAGTGGTCCCACTCCACAAAGAGGTGGGGTCTCAGGCCTACATGTGATGACTGCTGCGGCAAAGGGCTTTTGGGGCGTTCAGCCCTCTGTCCCCTTTCTATCCAGGAAAGCTTATACAGTTCAGTTTTCCTGTCCCCACCACCCTTTCTACCTGGGAGTTCCAGATAAGAAGATTATGAGCTTGTTCTCAGTAGCCTAAACAAATACCTTCCCTCCTGTACACTAGCCAGTTCCACCCAGTGTCTAACTCAAATCGCAGCTGCTTGGTTCTAATCCACTTTTGCAGTGCCAACTGAGCTATGGTGAATCCAGTTGAGGGGATCCTCTTGGCACGTCCTCCCTTACCTCTGCCTTGTTCTGGAAGCCAAGGGTGTACTGTCCAGCCTCCATGAGGGCCCTTGTAAGCCCTCCCTTCCCTGCAGATCAGAGTCACTTTCCAGAATTAACATTTCTCTGCATTTGAAGCAAATGCACATGTTTTCCTCCTGTGAAATTTGTTTTGCTAAACAAATTAATCTCGCACCAGATTATATTATGAAGAACCATAAATCTCTTCCAAGATAAGCATCTGTTGAGTTGGATTAGCGACACCCAATGTACTGTGGATTCATTTGCTTAGACTTATAACGCTGTCCCAGGCGCTTAACTTTAGTCATAACAAATGTGGTTTGGAATCAAGGGGAACCTGTTTCCTCATCCATGTTTATATAGTAAGTAACATACACCAAGGAGTGGACAGAGGAAGGGCCCAGGATCCCACCACGATGATGGCTCATGAGGGTAAAAGTGAATGCTTTGCAAACTGTCCACAGGCACCTGACACAGGATGACGGATAGCAGGCCGTGTGTCTGTGCATGTTCAAAGGAGGGAAGTGGCCCATGCAGGGCCTCCAAGACCCCTCTCAGGGGGGCCTGGGCTCATAGCCCCCATCGCTGGGCCTGGCTGCTGGTCCTCTGGAACCATTCCTAGTCCCTGGCCCACAGATCCCATCTCTGGGCCTGGCTCCTGGCTCTCCAGAACCATTTCTAGAGGTTCCGCAGCCCGTAGTCCCCATCTCTGGCCCTGGCTCTTGGCCCTCCAGAACCCTTCCTAGGGGTTTTCCGGCTCACAACCTCCATCTCTGGGCCTGGCTCTCAGCCTGCCAGAACTCTTCCTAGAGATTCCCTGACCCATAACCCCCATCTCTGGCCCTGGCTCCTGGCCCTCCACCCCTGGCACTGGCATGGAGTTCAGGTGGTGCCTTCACAGAAAAGGTGCTCTCTAGGGAAGAAGCGCTCAGAATAAAACCTGCAGGTTCTCTTGTCCAGGTGAAGATAGAAAGTAGGTCACTGGTAGAAGGACAAAAGCCACCCACCCTAGGAAAATCTGTCTGGACTGACCAGAGCCTGTCTGCCAAGATGACAGGGAATCAGGGCCAGGACGCTGAGTCTAGCAAGGACGCAGAGGCCAGGATGCCATACCCAGTGCCTGCAGACAGACTCGGAAGGGCAGCCCCTGCCTCCCCTGGATTCTGAAGAGGCTTCTGCAGGCCATGAAACCCAAAGCTCAAGGCTTCCATGGTGCCCCTACCCCCTCTGTGCCAATGCCTTGGAATCTGCACCCTATTTTAACAAATATTGCTATTTGTCTAGCGAGCACATGCACAATCAGTAGGTGGGGACAGCCGGGGACCCAGGCCCAAGCTCCCCAGGGCTCTGTGAAGCTGGTGCACGTCCGTGCAGGCCACCGGCGCAGAGCCAGGCTCTGACCCCTGGGGCTTCTGAGAGTCACTCTTCATGAGGAAGGAAAAATGCAAGCCCGCATGGAGGGGGAGATTTCAAAGCCAAGGAGCTGTCACCGTCACAGGCAGCCAGAATCACAGCAGCAGAAGAACCAAAGCCCTCTGTTCTGATCTCTGTCCTCTAAACACCCTCTTAACCTGTCTCCAGGGAAAAGAACGCTGTGGCCTGAATCGCTGCCTGAGAAGCCTCAGTTAACACCGCTGGAAGTTCTTTCTTTTACCTGCCCTCAGTCTTTCTTGCTACTTAAGGCCGTTCTTAATCCTGGACCAAGGTCAAGTTGGCAGGTACTGCACCTCTACCCATAGACCCCACATCCCTGAAGGTTTGTGAAGATGCCACGAGGCCCGTTATTGCCATCACGAGATGTCCCTGCATCTTACTCCTGGGGCCGGCTGTGGACATGAAGTTCTACCTCCTGGGAGACAAGGCTCTGTATCTGGCAGGGCTCGGCTGGTCCCTAACAGAGGCATGAGAGGAGCAGCATGCATTTCCAGGCAGCACGACGGAGGGAAGCTCTCCCTTCTCTGCCCACCTCCTTCTAGGACCAACCTGTATTTACCAGTCTGCACATGTGTGCCAGCTCACAGGCACATCATGCCCCCATCTCTCTCCAAGGTCTCACACGTAGCATCACCCCAGGGACATCTCAGCCTCCCTCCCTCCACCCTGAACCCCACCAACCCTACCCAGAAGAGAGGGGTTCATACCTGAGGTCTCCCCCAGAATCCTTGGGGGCTTGACGTCTTCCCCGTTGCTGCTGGGACTGGCGGAAGGCTCCGTTGTGCTAACCCCACCCGGGATCCTTTTCCGGGGATCCAGGGACTCAGTGAACCCCTTAGTCTGCAGCGTCAAGGGGGTGGCCGTGGTGGTGGTGGTGGTGGCGGCCACCGTCGTCTTCCGCGTTTGTAAGATGGAGACCGTGGTGGGGCCATAGATGCCTGGAAACGTGTTGGACTCCAGCGCCTCCTCGTCCCCCGTAGGTCCCCAGGCGATGAACTCAGTCTCCGTGGTGGGCCGGCCGCCCCTGAAGTCAACGCTGTTGAAACTGTCCCCCTGCAGGTGCCGCTTTCCTCTCCTCAAGAGGACCCGCTGCTCCAGGGCCCCGCCAGCCACTGCGGAGGACGAGGACGAGGAGGCCAGGGAAGGGCTGGATTTGGCAGCAGCAGGGGGCTTGGCGAGCCCGCCCTTGGGCACGAGGGTGGCCACCGGGTCCCGCGGCCTGTGGGCCCGTCTGGCTCGGGGTGTCTGCATCAGCCCTTGGGTCCGCTCCCCACGGGATGACCGGGGGCTCCACAGGGGGGCCGGCATCCGCACAGACTGTCCACTCCTCATGCTCCACAGCCGGGGTGGCCGGTGCAGTGGCCTTGGCAGGAGCCGGAACTCAGTGCCTGGACCCAGGGCCTCGCAGGTGGGGAAATCCATGGCAAGCTGAAACATGGCTATCAGTATCCAAGCATGGCTTCCGAGGGGGCAGCGCGGCCAGCGGACGGACATGGAGCTGGGAAGGAAGGAGACAAGACAATCAGCGGGGTGCCAGGCTCAGCCGGAGCCCTTCCCTACCCCTAGGGGACGAGAGTGCTTTCTTGAGCGTGCATCCTGACTTCACACGGGAAGCCGAAACCCCTCCTTACATCACTCCAGAGGCTGACTCGCGTGCAGTTTATCCACGAGACCTCAGGAGAGCAGTGAGTGCCAGCCATGCGTGCCTGTGGAGCCTGCCAGGCACACAGCAGCCGATGACCATACAGTTCATTTCAGGGGAGGGAAAACCGAGCCTCAGAAACCCCCGTGTTGACAAGATGACTTGATAAGATCTTGCATTCGGAGATACATGTGCAGGTCCATTACCTGGGTACATCCCATGATGCTGAGGTCTGGCTTCTACTGAACCCATCACCCAAATAGCAAAGTGGTACCCAACTGATTTTTAACACTTTCCCTCCCTCTATCTCCCTCTCAGCTTTGGGGGTCCCCAGTATCTGTTGTTCCCACAAGATGACTTCAAAGACCTGCCAGTTCCTCCTGCCTTCTGCCCATAATGCAACAGGGCACCAAGAGAACATGAGGTGAGTCTATGGAAGAACCGGACCTGGCATTCACCTGAACCCCCGGCCTCCACAGGACCCCAGACCAGGCACTTTCCTCTACATGACACAGGTGCCCTTGTGTGGAGTGGCCAATCCACGTGCCAAAGTTCTGGGAGGGTTGGAGGTCTCAGACTCTCTGTGTGACTCAACCCACTAGAGCACATGTGAGGCATAAACAGTAGGCGCTTCTTATCCCCCAGCTGCCACGCCCTCTGCAAACCCACCAGTTTCCCCCACAGTGAACTGTGGGTGTGCGTGTATGACAGCAGGCATGTGGCTTTAAATGCCGGGCATGGGGGTGTCCCTCACTGCTGGCCTCTGGGCTTATCTCGAGAGACAAGATCAGCTCTAGATACACAGAAGTGTGTCATACCCAAGCGTCTGTCCTGTTGACATTTCTGTCTCCCAACTCCCCGGTAATCTGTGGTACAAGTGCCCTTGGAAGCCCGTCGCCCACCCGCTCCGCTACTGAGGGCTAGAGAAAGGACAAGCCGGGCGCCACCCAAAGGGAGCAGGGTGGCCTCTTGCGGGCGGGCTGCAGGGAAGATGCCAGGGGCGAGTGACCCTGTTGCCAGGCAGATATCGCTTCTGGACCTGCAGGCACTCAAGGTCATGTGAAAACCCAAAGTGTGGTGGAGCCAAGCCCATGTTCACTCTTCCACCAGCACAGATGATCGAGGACTGATTATGGGTGTCATTCAACGTCAATTCTGTCACCAACCTCCCATCTGAACATTAAAATGAATCCGAAATTCTAATAACAGCTGTGGGGGTGGCTCAGCCCAGCCTGATGGGTTCTCGGGGTGCCTCTTCCCCAGGAAGCATCATGGGACTCGAAAGGAAACAAATTGTGTGCATGTCATTGTGATGTGTGCACTGGAGTGTGCGAGTGTGTGGGAACATGTGTGTGTGTCAGTGAGTGTGCACACGTGTGCATGAGCATGTGAGTACACCAGGGTGTGAGTGTGCTGGTGTGTGTGTCTGGGGGTGTGTGCACATGTGTGTGTCTGTGAGTGTGCACGTGTGAGTATATGAGCACATGAGTGCACCAGAGTGTGTCAGGGTGTGAGTGTGCTGGTGTGTGTAGGTATGTGTATGTGCGTGCATGTGCATGTGTTAGTGTGCTGGTGTGTGTGGGTGTGAGGATGCACCGTGAGTGTGTCCATGAGGATAAGAGACTGAGTGTGTGAGTAGGTAACACTGTGTGTATATTTGGCATGTGTGAATGGGCGTGTACTGGTGTGTATGCACACGTGTACCCCTGTGTGAATCAGTGAATTACTGTGTAAGAGCATCTGTGTATGTCCTCATGTACCCCTGTGTGAGTACAAGTGTGCCTGTGTGTGTGTATGTGCATGCAAGTAACTCTCTGTGCCTGTGTTTGAGCAAGGCTATGTGTGAGTGTGTCTATTATGTGCAAGTATATCTGTGTGTGTGTGTGTGTGTGTGTGTGTGTCAGTGTCCATATGTCCTCGTGTCAGTGAGTTGGTGAGTGTGCCTGTGTCGGTGTGTTCAAGTGTATGACCATATCTGTGTGTGCCTGTGCCCCTGTGTGCTCGTCTCTGCACAACCCATGTACCTGGGGCTGGCCATCAGGACATTGGGAGAGAGAAATGAGTGAATGAGTGAAATGAGAAATGGGTGAATAAGAACTAATTACCAAGAAAGACTAGTCCCTGAATAATGAGGTCTCGTTTTCTGGTCAGGAAGAAAGTATCCTGCTATAGGACTTAGGGACTGTCACTGTGCTAATGCTTTGGGCCGTGTTTCTACTGACGTGCCATTTCTCCATACACTCAGCAAGGTGACTGGGGCCGCTATCCCTGTACAGAGGAATTTAGGTCAGTGCAAAATCCTCCCATACACAAGGGTCGCTCCACTGTGGTGCAGGCAACCCAGGGAGTTCTCCCACCATCTGGACATCTGGGTGGCAGTCTGGCCCCGAGGTGGGGAAGATGCTGCAGGGTCCTACCCGTCCCCAGCAAGCCACCAGGTCAACCAGGCCCCAGCAGACCCCACCAGGTCCCAACCAGGCCAACCAGGCCCAGTCCGGCTCCACCGGAATGACCAGACCACATCAGTTCCCACCAGACCCCAACAAGCCTACTAAGCCCCACCAGGCCCCACCGGGTTGGCCAGGCCAACCAGTTTCAGCCAGACCCCATCCGTTCCCCCCAGCCCTTACCAGGCCTACTAAGCCCCACCAGGCCCCACCAGATGGACCAGACCCCATCATTTCTCACCAGGCCTCACCAGACCTACTAAGCCCCACCAGACTACACCAGATTAACCAGGCCAACCAGGCTCTACCAGGTCCTGCCAGACCCCACCAGACAGGCTGACTCAAAGGCAATGACCAACAAGCCTGCCTGCCATGAGCACCCGGGGAAACCCTATCCCAGGACACTGAAACACAGCACCTAGGCCTGTGCCTGCTACCCTGGCGTATTGTCACACAGGATGTTTCCATGATTCTTCCCTAACCATGTCTGTAACTGGTTACTATAGAAACCTCCTCATTGCCAAGACAGCCAGCTGTTCTGCAGAAAAACCAACCAATTGCAACGGTGGCGGGAGAGGCCGATTTGACTTTCCAAGTCTAGGTTCCTCCTTTTCAGAGTGTTTTGTGCAGAGAGGAAAAACAAAGAGGGCAGGCAGACAGGCAGGACAGCGGCCAGGAAACATGGGGTGGGTGGCAGAGGGAGCCTCCCCAAGGGGAAGCCTGCAAAGCCTGCACTGTTGGTCTCCAAAGGGCCCATACTCTGCTGTGTCACCAGGCCTAGCTGGGCTGTGTGTCTACCTGGACTTTTGAGGTCTTGAGACACTTGGGGACCTCCTGTCTCCAAAGACCCATGAGCAGTTCAAGGATGTCCCCGCCTCATCCCTCAGATCAGCTCTGAGAGCAGGCGGAGCCTGAAGGCTCTTCTTCTGACCCTGCTCAGTCCTAGGTTTGGGCCACTGAGGCTGCTTGTATTTTATGATTAAGACATTCTGGAAAGGCTCACCCCACGAAGGCATCTACGGTACCCTCAGCCGCTCAGTGAGGTGGCAGACGGCCTCATACATTCCGGGGAGGGAGTCCCGCAGCATGGCTGTGGACAGACAATATCATCCCTCTCCATCAGAAGGCCTGGTGCAGCGGAAGTGGCACCAGCTTCCCCAGTCTCCGAGACATTCATGAGCCTTTTAAGAACATACCACCTGCTTCACACAGCAAGAGCTGCAAGCAGTAAGATGGACACCACAAGGGCAAGGATGTGAGGAGGGCAGGGACCCTTGGACCTGTGTGGTGGGTTGGAATGCCACTGTGGGAACGGTGGACCAATTTCTCGAGTCTTCAACACAGAGTAACCAGCGACCCCATGCTCAGGCATGAACATCTGTCCCCAGAAAACCTGCAGAAGAAGGTGGGCGGCAGGACTTCTCACAGCAGCCCGAGCGAATCAAGCCAAGTGTCTATAGACAGATGATGGTTTCACATAAGCTGGGATAACCACGCCATGGAGTACCACTCAGCCTTAAGAGAGATGGAAGCACAGACCCAGGCTGCAACACGGATGAACTCTAAAAACATGCCACGAAGTGAAAGAAGCCAGGAGTTCAAGGCCACATATGGCACGATTCCATCGACACCAAATACCCAGAGTAGGCAAGTCCACAGACACAGAAAGACTAGCGGTGGGTTGCCTGGGCCTGAGAGGAGGGTAAGAGGGCACGGGGCCTCTGTTCAGAGTGATGAAATGTTCTGGAATCGATTGTGGGGAGTGGCTGCACAGCTCTACAAATATCCTAAAACCACTGGGCTGTATACTTTAAAAGATGAATTTCACGGTGTGCAAATTACATCTCAATAAAAATCAAGGCGAGCGTGATGGAGGGCAGGGGAAGAGTCTGTGTGGGAGGATCTTGGGGCTGATACAGGGGGTGGGGACACACCATGGCATCACAATCCTGCACATGCCCTGGTGGCGGGAGGGAAGCCAGAGCGCCCCTTGGAACTGCAGGCTCCCTGCTGGGAGTGTGCCATGGGCATGTATCCGGGTCGTCGACATCATCCTCATGGGACTGTGGGCATGAGACCAGCTCAGTGACTAGGTCCCCATCCTGCAAGGACAGAGCCGAGGACGGACGGCGCTCACCTGGCAGCCTCCAGCCCGTGATTTTCACACAAATAACAAACTCTCCTGGCCGCCCCCGCCCCCCACGTCTATGTGGGAACCACGGCCCCGTCCTGCGTCCTGTTCCAGTTCGCGGCTTCCTGGCTTCTCTTCCTTTTAAATTTTATTGAAATGTTTTTTCCCCAAGAACAGTTTAATAAGATTCAGTGAATTGAGATTCAATTCGCTACCTTCTGTATGTGTTCTTCACAGAAGAAAATCACTGTCAATTAAAGGGAACAAAGACATCTCT